AATTTTGGGAATGATGAGGGCAACAAATGTATAGATGTGCTTTACACAATTGATCTATGTATTGAGATGAATTGTATGAGCCCCAATAAATTGATTAATAAAAAAAAAAAGAAACCCTGAAAATAACGTGAATGTGGATCAAGAGTAGAATGACTACACTGTGACAGATTTGTGGACTGGAATGAAAGAGTGACAGCTCCATCTACAGATGCAGAAACAGAATGCTGAATCACAAGCCACTGCGTCATACTCAAAGTATGATACAATGTAATTAAAATCCACACACAAGCAAAACTAAACAGACTGACAAATCATATACATCAGGTATGGGAAATCTAGAAACACAAAGGAGAATAAAACTATGAAGTATCCTGATAAACCCAGATGGGGAGGAAGGCTGGTGGAGATCAACAGGAAGTTTTCTCTTTCTTGGGCTGTGGGTTGATTCACAGATACCATTGTGTATGGCCATAACTGACATCTATCTATGTATTTGTATCAAATACTTTGTTGTTTTCAGTAGAGAAGGAAGAAAAGTACTTCTATTTGAGAAAATGGAAATGGGAAATGTTCTACTGCGGCTGCCAAGCCAACCGCCACGCTAGAGAGGCTTCAAAGAAAAGACAAGAATACTAAATTCTAAGTTTACCTTGTATGGCCGTATCTTATTTACATGACTTTTCAGTATCCAAAACCTGTTTTAAAGAAATAAAAAATTCAATTATTGTCATTCACTAATGTCTAATTCAGTTACATCCTAACACTCCAGGTCTTCTAATGATCCTACTACCACTCATCCTATTAATCATCAAGTAATACTTACTACTACAAAAGAAACTAATGAAAAAATTACCGATGTATAGACATATCCAAAACATGTGCACAGAGTAGAACTGCCCCACTGGGATTCCAAGGCTGCAAATCATTAAGGAACCAGAGAGCCTCATTTTTCTCCCGTGGTACAGCTGGTGGTTTTGAACTGCTGACTGGGGCAATCCTACTCTGTCCTACAGGGTCGGAATGAGTCAGAATTGACTTGGTGGCCTTGAGTTTGTTTTATTTTTCAAGAGGAATGAGAATCTAAGGATAGACTTCAGTTTAGAAAATGTCTTCATTTGTATATTTTTGTGGCTAGAAGCCCAACACATAATCCATTGTATCACCAGGGCTCTTAATACATCTCAAAGGATAACCAATAAGACACCCTTCTCAAATACACAGCTCTCTTCAAACTCTCACATTTAGTTCAAAGGTATGTTTTAAATAAGAAAAAGGACAGTTAAAATCGTACTTACTCTAGTTAGCAATTCTTGTGTGTCAGCAGTCAGCGGAGCATGAGAAAACTTGCAGTGTTCTCCCTGGTAACACTTTGTTCCTGTATGGTAAAACTTGCACGGATATTCATGTAATTCAAATGTTAAGGAAGAGAACAATTTTAATCCAAGTAAAATAATTCATGCTATTAATTTAATGCTATTTAACTGTGCGATTGCTAATTTCTTTTCTATACAAAGGTTTTTCTAATATAAACTTTGAATTTCCTATTTAAAACATGTCTGTTATTGTTAGGTGCCGCCTGTCAGTTCTTACTATGTACAACAGAGTGAGGCACTGCCTGGTCCTGGGCCATCCTCACAGTTGTTGTTTGAGCACAATGTTGCAACCACTGTGTCCGTTCATCTTGCTGAAGGCCTGCCTCTCTCCACTGCCCTGCTACTTCTTTACCAAGCATGACATCCTCCTCCAGAGACTGCTCTTCTGACAACATGTCCAGAGTATGTGAGATGAAGTCTCACACAGAAACACGTTTTAATTGAGTTATGTATAAGACATATGCATTTTCGGATGGTTATACAAAGTTTATTGACAATGACTTTCTTCCTTCGTGTAACGGACTACAGGCAAGCTTCACTGATGGAAGACGTGGCCACACACTTTTAAAATCTCGGGAAGTAAGATTATTTTCAAAGCACTCTTTTGAGGTGGGGAAACAAAGTCAACCCTTCTTTAAATGCCTTACAAATCTGGATCCTTCCAATATTAGGTTTGTGTAACAGAGAATATGTTTACATACCTTCAAGATTATTTTCTAGGGGAAAAAAAATCCCCCCATTAGAAATGAAGATGCCCTGAGTTGAATGGTGAAAGGTGAGGCTTTCTGTCCCATAAAGAGTTACATTCTTGGAAACCCAAGAGGCAGTTCTACTCTGTCCCATACGGTCGCTATCGGTCAAAATTAACTCAATGGTCGTGGATTTGTGTTGACCGACGAAAGGAAACAATTTGTGGTGAGAAAGCTCATTCAAACTCACCACCATGTGAGCCCATAGGACAGGGTAGAACTGCCCCTGTGGGTTTCCAAATCTGTAACTCTTTACAGGAGTAGAAAGCCTCATCTAGCACAGAGGCTAGTGGGTTTGAACTGCTGACCTTGCAGTTTGCAGCCCAACCTGTAATCACATTTTATGTCTATGCCATCCGCACTGAAGAGCAAAGACTGCGCTTTAGATGAAGGGAGTGTTAACTTCTAGAATATATAAAGGCACTCCATAAAGTTCTTGGAAAATGAAATGATCATGAATTTTTCCACAGCACTTTGTGCCTGTGTGGAACACTTTGTTCCAAGAGTTTTTGAAGTCCCTTTATGTAATGTACGACATACAGAAAGCGAAACACAAATTAAATCACAGGGACCCTATAGGACAGAGTAGAACTATCCCTGTGGGTTTCTGAGGCTATAAATCTTTGTGGGAGCAGAGAGCCTCAGGTTTCTCCTTCAGGGCAACTAGTGGTTTCAAGTTTCTGACCTTGAGGTTCGCTAACTAATATGTAACCCATTACAGAGAAACCAAGTACTCCCAAACCAGGAAATCCTTGGCTCTTTTACAACCTAATTGAACATGGATTCAACTAGGCAATATCAAAACAATCTTTTTGGAATCTGAATTGGTCCCACAAAACTACTATACTACTCATGTTGAGGAGAAAAGATCTTCACTTAAGAGATTTCCAAAAAAACCTCTATTTTCTTTTTTGGGAAAAATCTGGATGTAACTCAATCACTTTGATAGAGTTCGGCTCAGACAGTATCATTTTGCCACATATAAAACACCGATTTCAAAATTTTGCATTTGAAAAACATACCTATTAAGAGGAAAGTTACCATATAACTTGAAATAAAGGATATTATGCAAATACAGGCAGTTTTCGCCTCTGTTACAATATCCCTGTACATAAAATTTACACATTTCCTTTTTCTTCTCCAGTTCTGCATCATGGTCAAATTTACACTGGTCTCCCTGGGCCAAAAGAAATAACAAGGAAAATCCATTACTTTTCATAGCTAAGTCTTACATTTTCATTCCAATTAATTATCAGATAAACAAATGATCCCAGGGATTCTTAATGAGTTATCATAGAACCACATCATGTGTATCTGCATACAATTTTGTTATAACATTTTTGTGGACCCTAGGAAAAAATATGGACAGCAAAGGTAGCTGTCCCTCCAGGGGAATTTACAATGTAACCCCGAGAAAGAACCAACATCAACAAGACAGAGTGAGGATGCGCTTTGCTCGAGTCCTGGGCAGCGGGCAATTTTCACCCTACTCTGCAAGGTTCAGGAACTCTACATACTCATCAGGAGCAGGCCTGGACCCATCTGCAAAAGACAAGCCCAAGGCACGGATGAGAACCGTGGTGCGAATCCCAGAGAGGCTGCCGAGCGGCAGGAAAAGAAAAAGACTAGAGGGCAAACCCACAGGAAGACACGAAATAAAACTGAAGGTCATTTTCAAGTCAGAAGAACCAAAAAAAACGTGTCCTCTGTAATGTGAATGACCGGAGATCCCTTCCCCCCATCAGAAAACTGGAACGGTGCATCACTGGCCTAATGGCCCGGTGCCTGTTCCACTTTTCTGATTTCCCCGGAGATCTGATGCTCATGAATCAGGATTTTATATCTTGGGGAACCCACCCCAATGATGTGATGAAGGCCTGCCCACCGAGAAACACGGGCAGAACTGTTTCTCACTGTGATTAAAGTTTATTTATTCCCTGGGGTAAAAAAAAACAACAAAAACCCGAAACATTTTTATACAAAATATTTTTAAAATTTTATCCACTTTATCTACTTTCTTATACAAGATTTTCACTAAAAAGTTCAATTGAACCATTTTCAGAAGGCAACAATCATAAATCTATAGGTGTAAGTTTAGCCTCAAATAGAAAGGGGAATTGGTTTTCGTCCTACATATTGGTTTTGCTATATATTTAGTGCAGTTCTATTTTGTATACCTTAATACATTTCCGCTCAAGGAAGTATTTACAAACTTGTTTTCCTTTGCGTTCCACTGTGTGCTGGTTGATGAATCCCTGGCTCATTCTCACACACTGCTGCTTCTCTTCAGGTTTACCAGCCTGTAAAGAAGACAAAACACAATAGCTAAATGTGAGACACAGAACATCAACTATTTCCTTCTGTTGTGCAAACTCCTATTTTTAAAAAGGGCTTCAAACTGGTGCATTCTGATTCTATCCCTTGGTGAGAATGTATATTTACCTTCCTGATATACGAAATGTGTATCTAGTTTAATGCACCAGGATCACCTGAGGATCTATCAGAATCACTTGGGAATCAATCTTGTTGAACATCATACTAGAAATAGCCAAGAATCATCTGGAGACCTCATTAAAATGTAGATTCGGATCCATTATCTGTAGTGTGACTATACTGAAAATGCAAAGTCTCACTAGGGCATTGAACTAGAAACCAAAGCAAACCAAGCTCACTGCCATCGAGTCAATGCTGGGTTCCCTAACTGTTCCGGGAGGAGAAAGCCCTGTCTTTCTCCCTCGGTGCCGCTGGTGGTTTCAAACTACTGATCATGCAGACTGCAGCCCAATGCGCAACCACTGTGGTAGTTACATAATCTCATGTCAACACGAAGACAGGAACAGTGGAGGGGTGGTAGTCAACCCGTCAATCAGGTCACAGCCTGATAGTGCCTCCCTGTGGGCATGGCTTTTTCTTTTCTATCATTTTATTGGGGGGGCTCGTACAACCCTTATCACAATCCATACACACACCCGTTGTACATTTGTTGCCATCATCGTCATGTCTTTTTCATAACGAGGCCTGGGCACATCCCCATCGCTCTCTCTCTGCCTTCACCTTCCTGCTGAGAAGCCACTGTGGGACCTGCCAGCGCCCTGTGATGCTTCCACCACCACTGGATCCACATGACTCTTCACACGTCGGCCTGTGGTCTTCCTCTATTCTGCATCAGTGCATGGGGTTGCGTGAGTCTGAAGAGGGACTTAGGGACTGGTATCGGACTTACGGACTTGAATTGGACTGAACTGGGATGTTTTCCTGATATATACCTCTTCTTGATATAAAGCTCTTTCTTCCATATAGATATGTGTGTGTCACTACATTTGTTTCTCTAGTCAAACTGACCGAACACCCCACTACACCACCAGGGCTCCCACACGCAACTGGAAAGCATCCCTTAATCCTCATCCTCTGGGGGGTGCCATCCACTGTGGGAGCCTTCAGAAAAGCAAAGTCCAGGGGAGTTATATCTTGTCCTATCTTGATAATATGAGCGGCCGCTACAGAGTTTTCAGGAAAAGTTCCTTCTTCAAGGAAGGGAGAGAAGCTTCTATAAAGCAGAACGCAGGAGGACTGCGGGTACAGAGATGTGGTAAGGCCACTAGTCAGCAGCGCTTCTTTTTAGTTTCCAGAGGCAGTCACCAACTAATAGAATCGACAGGGCCCGACGTGAAAAGCTTTGCCTGCTCTGTGGCCTTCTACTTCCCCATTTCTTCAGTCGTCAACAGCACAGCACTCAGCCGCCGAAGGGCCCATGTGCGCCTTCAGGAGCACACGGCGAACCCCCGGGCCTAAGCCAGGCGCTGGTAGCTCATGAGCGAGAGGGACAGTCACTGCGCTGACAAGAATGAAGAACGTGGAGAACCCACTGAGGTAAGAGGTCTCCACTAACAGCTAACCCCGACCTTGTGGGATGCCCTCCCTGCTTAGTGTCACCTAGCACTTCTGCCACTGAGTTATAACAACCAACGAGCACGGTGGGGTCTTCCTACACTTAGTTCTTATACCTCTTCCTGTGACTTCGTTTTTCCCGGCAAAGCACTTGCTGCCTTGTTCCCAGTGCCAGCCCATTTTCTCTTCATTTTCTTCTGTTTGCTCTTCTTGGGGGCCGCCTTGAAATTTTTATTTTTTTGTTTCACAGCTAAAGACAAGAGAGGTAACTGTCAATGACATAGATGTAGATAATAGCAGTTTGCCTTTAAGATTTACATTCCATTATCATCCAGGACAGTGGTTCTCAACCTGTGGGTCACGACCCCTCTGCAGGTCAAACGACTGTCTTGGGGGGCGGTGGGGGGGGGGGTCCGCCCGATTCATAACAGTAGCAAAATTACAGTGCTAAAGTAACAACGAAAACAATTTTATGGTTGGGGGGTCACCACAACATGAGGAACTATATTAAAGGGTCGCGGCATTAGGAAGGTTGAGAACCACTGAGCTAGGAGAAACTCTCTAGAGCCCACAGAGGAAAAACAGATAAAATGTTGTCTTGTCTTGCTGGAAGCTCTGGGATTGAGAGACCAAACTGAGATTTCTGATAACACAATCTAGATTTCTAGCTCATCCTTTTTTGGTAAATATGCAAGGCTTTATGGAGCAACAAATAAAGTCAAAATGATGAGTGGAACCTATCTTGCCAGCCAGAACTTTCTGAACCACTCATAGGATGATGTGGGTCCAATTAGAAACGGTCACAGCACTATAATAGTAAAGACTTCAAATGTTAAACATGACCTGTTGGACTTTTCAGAGATAAATATGTTATACATTAAGTCACTCCTCAGAGACATTAGATAAGGAACAAGAACACTTTATTTTAGAAGAGGGAGAAAAAAATAAGAGAGTGAAATCATTTACTACCCTCCTTTACCTCCATTATCTACAGCCAAATCTCATGTGAGCAGTGTAAGAGAGCATCTTTCTAAGCTGTAGTCTGACAAACAGCCATTCCTGACATCCACTAAGTCAATCCTACACTAAATGACAACAGTACAAACGGGCGAAGGATTTGGCTCTCTCTCTCTTGAAGTCCTCGTGGACTTTGTTAACTGACTGCACCCTTACCTGCTCCTGACACCAGCTGGTATTTACACCAAACAGCCAGGTCTCGGGCCGTGCAAGCTGAGACCTGGTGTAAACCTGCATGGAAACTATCTCACCATGAGATGACAAGCAGGAGAAAAAATCCCATCCTTCTGTGGACAACTACGATTGCTTCTCTCGAGACATTTAAAATGGCCAAACAGGGTGACACTTACCTGGCTGGGCACCTTTTGCCTTTTCTGGCGTCACTGTTTCTTCAGGAACCGGGGGAGGTTGAGAGGCGTTTGCCATTTCTTTAGCTTGGATGTACCGTTTAAGCTCTTCAGCAAAGTGGTCTTCTGGTTCCTGATCGAGGATATCATTGTCGTCAATATATGCATCATAATCCTTACTTCTTGATTTCCATCTGTGTTGCGAACTCTTTTGCAATGTTGCAAAGTGTCCAAAGTGCCGGACCTAAGTAAAAATCAAATTCCCATTAAAAACAAACAAACAAAAAAAACAAGCACAATACAAAGCAATCTGAGGAAGGCAGGTGGGGTGGTTACACAGAAAAACAGGAGCAGCCACGAGGTTGCTATTAGAAGTAGTAATGAGTCCCTAGGAAGTTCATGGACGACTCTCTCCATTTTCGTGTATTTGAAACTTTCCAGACTTGAAGAAGGAAAAAACAGCATTTTCATCCTCAAGGATGATTTGAGGGAAATTCTGAATGTGTACACAGGATTCAAAGTCTAAACTTCCAAATACTAAATAAGATTATCGTATTATAGTTCTTGCATTTTCTTTCTTTGTACCTGCTGCATATTTTTAATGGTTAGTTAAGTAGCTCTCCATTTCATAAGAAACTAATGGCCTGGTTAAAAATCCACATATACTTATAATGTAGCTCTACCACCAAGTCGTATTCCTTTTCCTGGAACTCACAGCAGTGCAGCGGAGGCCTTTGTAATCAAGTTACCTTGAATTCTGCTGGGAGGACGCAGCTTGTGATTTATCATGAGGTGGTTGAAGGTTGGTTATATGAACTGGAATGTGGGTGAGTATGTATGGTAGTTACATAAGTTGTCAATTTGAGTATTAAGAGTGAACAGGTGAAGTTTAGTCTGTCCATCGGGTCCCAGTTTGATGACCTCTTTGGAGACACAAAGGAGATATATACCTTGCTGGGGGTGGGACACATGCTCACTCCCTGAGAGACTTTCTATTGACAAGACACATGGGGCTATGCTGATGGCAGCAAGAGCCCTGGACCTGAGAAGCCACATGGAGACCCACGCCAGCGCTGAGATGCTTCCACTGTCACTGGATCCACAAGACTATCCACCATTGGCCTGTGCTCTTCCTGCATTTGGTATCATTGCATGTGTTTCGTCTGAAGAGGAATTTATAGATTGGTATCGGGTATATGAGCTAATATTGGACTTATGAACTTGATCTGGACTGGGCTGGGCTGTTTTCTCAATATTCAATCGCTCTTGTATATAAAGCTCTTTCTTATATATACGTGAGTGTCTCTGGATTTATTTCTCTAGTCTACCTGGACTAACACAGTGTGGCTCAGAATAAGCATAGGATGCTGCAGTGGCTGGTAAATGAGGGGTGTGTTTTGTGTTCTTATGTGGCTCAGGTCTCATCAGATGCACTTGTTATACTTGCTGTTTCTCACAAGTGAAATCTTGCACAAGCAAATGTGAAAGTAACATTCTGATTAAATTGTTCCCTCACATTATCGATGGACTGTGTTTAGGGGGAAAAAAATCACATGTTCACAACAAGCATTGTTGCAAAAAATGACTTTCTTGAGCTGTCCAAAACTAACACAAGAAGCAAAATAGCCATTCCTACACAAATTTGCAAAGGAGTTACTTTTCAAGCTCAGGCTAGCGCTCCAGCAGTGTTTTTCAGGCCTGTGTGCAAGTACAAAGGACATTTCATTTCAAAACACATTCAACTGTGCAACTCAGGAGACTTCCAGGTAACCGCCAACTGGGCGTGATTAATCTGTGGTGTAATGGCATTCTACATGACAAATCTTGAGGAGAATCTACTAGAATCCCATGAATACCTTCCAAGCAATAAATACGCTTGGTTAAAAGCATACACTTGTGGACTATTATCAGTCTTTTGCCAGTACCTATGTGTGATAAAAACTGTTTTCAAAGATGAAATATATAAAAATCTCATTATAGATCTGTATTAACAGACCAACCTCTGCAGCTCATTTTGATGATAAATATTAACTTAAAATTTCCAATTAAGCGAAGTGTCATCAAAAGAGAACTCTATTCTTCTCATGACCACTGGCAGTCAATTATTAGATTGTAACACAGAGTGACCATCCAGGACTGAGCTGACTGCCCTGCTGGCTTTCCAAGGCTTTAATATTTACAGAAGCAGCCTGCCATAGCTCTCCCCCAAGGAGCGGGGAGATGCAGGTGGGTTCGAACTGTCCACTTCCCGGTTAGCAGCTGGACACTTACCTGCAGTGTCATCAAGCTCCTTAGTGTTCTCACTAGTTAACCTGTACTACAATGATCAATTATTACATTAATCTATGCAGAATTCTGCCAAAAGGTGGGTGGGGGCTCCCTCTCACTCATTTTATAAGCGCAAAAAATCCTCACTTCTACTGCTTGGCTTACAAAGACTAAAATATTCACTGTCTGGTCTTTCACAAAATATATTTGTGACTTCTGCTTTAGAGGATAAAAACAAAACAAAGGCAGGCAGGTAATGCAAAGCTACTGCAGAAGACTCAAATATGTCTCAAAGAAAAAGTGCAAACAAAATTTTATTAATAGACAAAGATATATGATATGACTTTAAAAAAATCAGAGGTGATATTTAAACATGTACTAGGAAGCTGTAAAAACAAAATTGAACAATACAAAGCTCTTAAATAGTTACATAATGATTTAGGAAGTACAGATAAGTGGAAGTAGAGGATATTTCTTAGAGTATAAAGGAAAAAAGACAGACATTAAATAGAGAAGATATGTCACATATGTGAAGGCACAAGTGCATGATCTCACTGAACACTGAGCAAGGATGACAAAATCTCACATAACTGAAGAATGTTATGGTTAAAGAGGAACACCTGAAAACATCTAGAAAGAACAAAATACATCCAAAGTAACTGGACTCGAACTGTGCAGACTTCACACTGGCGATTCTGGACAGTGGAAGAAGACATGGAAGCTATAACGGCAAACTTGTGAGGAGAAATAGACTCAATCCACAATTCTATTTCAGACGACCTATCAGCTCTGAGGATAAATTCATGATCTTTTAAAAAATGGTAATAAACACTTCAGAATTCTACCTCCCAAGCATTCCTACATAAACGTGTATCCTAGTCAAATAACTGACAATTTGCAAATGACATTCTATAAAAGGACATCACTTACAATCACCTCAAAAATCAAACAAACAAGATCCAAAACATCTACAAAGAAATTTATGACCCACTGCTGAAAGAAATCAAAGACAGTACTTTTCAACACTGTACAGATATCCATTTTCCCCTAAATTATCTAGAGCAGTAGTTCTCAACCTGTGACCCTTTCACAGGGGTCGTCCAATTCATTACAGTAGCAAAATTACAGTTATGAAGTAGCAACAAAGATAATTTTATGATTGGTGGATCACCACAACATGGGGACCTGTATTAAAGAGTCACGGTATTTGGAAGCTTGAGAACCACTGATCTGGAGACTGAATGCATTCCTGATGACATCTCCGTTAGGCTTTTCTGTGGAACTGGAGAAACCGATTGTAAAATGTAGCTGGAAATGCAAAGGGTTAAGCTGAAGGTGCAACACTGGCTGCACTGGCGGTGCGGCAGCTCAGTGCTCTGCTGCTAAGGGACAGCTGGTAGTTTACTTACACACACACACACACACACACACACACACACACACACACACGCACGCACACCTGTGACACCATCCGAGAAACACCTGGTAGTCTGCACCCTTGAACTGTTAACTTACATGTGAAGGTAAAAAAAAACAATACATCTTTTAGGAGACAATGCAGGAAAATATCTTCATTTATGTCAAGACATCTAACATATAAGCCATGATTACAAAGGGACACATGAACCAATTTAAGTATATTAAACTTACAAACTTCTTTTCATCAAACAACGCCATAGTGGTAAAATCACAAAATGAGCTGATATTTGCAACTGTTACCTACCCACACCAATAAAAATAACAAGCCTGTCATATCCAGGAAAAAATACTAATCAAGAGAAAAAAGATAATCCAATAGAAAAGGGGAAAAAAGGGTATGGGGAGGGGAGGGGAGGGGAGACTCACACAAGCACCCAAAGGAAATCCAAGTGGCCAAACTTATCTCCAGATGCTCATCTCTCAGTACTCAGGAAAATGCAAACTAAACGACAGTCCGATACCTCTGTGCCCTCACCCCATGCATACTGACACCAAGCGGGGGCCACTGTGTGGAGCAGTAGAAATACAGTCTCCCTCACTGCCTCTGAGAGTAAGAAGAGTTATAAAACTAAAACAAAACCCACTGCCATTAAGTCAAGGCTGACTCATAGAGACCCGGCAGGACCGGGCAGAACTGCCACTGTGGGTTTCAGAGATTCTAACTCTTTACCAGAGTAGAAAGCCCTGTCTTTCTCCCTCAGAGCGGCTGGTGGTTTCGAACAGCAGACCTCGTGGATTGCAGCCAACACATAACCATGACACCACCAGAGCTTAAAATCAGTTTGATGTTATGGTTAAGGGGAAGACGTGCAGAGAACCCAGCAATTCCACTACGAGGTGAACACAGGTTACAGTTAACAAATGGAGCAGTATTTCCCATAACCACCCAAAACAACCGGAAACAGACCAAATGCCCATCAATCAAAGAATGTGGTATACTCAGATAAGGAAAAAATATGAAGCTGTGAAAATAAACCAACAAATTGATGTATCTTAAAAACATAATGTGAGTAGCGATACCAGGAGGGTCAGGGGAAGGTCGGGGGAGAAAGAGGGAACCAATCACAATGATCCACATATAACCCCCTCTTAGGGGTACATACAACAGAAAAGTGGATGAAGGGAGACATCGGTCAGTGTAGGACATGAAAAAATATATATAAATTATCAAGGGTTCGTAAGGGAGGGAGTGTAGGAGAGAGAGGGGAAAAAATGAGGAGCGGATACCAAGGGCTCAAGTAGAAAGAAAATGTTTGAGAATGACGGTGGCAACATTATGCACAAATGTGCTTGACACAATGGATGGATGTATGAATTGTGATAAGAGCTGTCCGAGCCCCCAATAAAATGATAAAATAAAAAATATATAGACATATTGTGGTCCAAAAGAAGCAAGACAGAAAAGAACACACACAATACTATTCTATCTTTATAAAGCTCAGAGACCAGGAAAAAACAACTATGGAATATTTTTAGAGATAACACCAAACCAAGGCGTCCTGGTGGAGCAGCGGCTGCCCATGGGGCTGCTAAACCCATGGCTGTCGACTTCAAGTGCATTCTGATGCATCGCAACCCTGCAAGATGGAGCAGAACTGCTCCTTAGGGTTTCCGAGCGGGCAAACCTTTGTGGACGTTCTGACTGCCGCGTCTATCTCCTGCAGCACGCCTGCTGAATCCACACTGCCGACCATCTGGCTCGCAGCCCAGTGCTTTCAGCACCGTGCCACCAACACTAGTGTCTCTTATAAGTAAAAGAGCTTCGCATTAAACCCTATTTGGGTCTCGTCTTTTGCCAGGTCAAACCCATTCTTCTGTGGATGTGTGAAAATTTCCCCCCAAAATCAGGTCTTAAAAAGGAAACTCAAAGAGGGAAGAGAGGAGTAGATATTGGCTTTAAGCTCTAAATCACTATAGCAGGTAAGCAAGTAGTGTATCAAAATCTTTAAACTATTTCATCTAATTTGGAAGATAAAATGTGCTTGGGTGTTTAAAATTCATTTCAGAAACAGGAAAAAACAAAAAAAAAGGACTAAAAATAGTTCATGTTAAATGACAACAAGGCTCTTCAATGATAATTCTTTTAAAAACTAAACAAGTTTCCTTGACATAAATAACTGGGCCCTAAATCTTGACTAAAATAAAATAAAAAGGCTTCTTGCCTGGTTTTTATGTCAAATTTAGTCTTACCTTTTTGGGAATTGGCTCATATTCCACTTTTATTGTCTCTTTGTGTGCTTCTTCAATGTCTGAAACATCTTTTTCATCGTTGACTCTGTAGTAAAAACATCAAGTAACACAAGAGGATTTTTCAACCTGGAAAGCCTTCTTACTGCAGCATTTAGATCCACTCGCTCTGGCTTCTCTTCAACTTGCCCACAAAGAAATCCAAATTCAAATTCTACTCCAAACCACCCAGAGAAATGGACAAAGTTATGACAGAGAGTAAAAGTCAATGTCTATGAGTAAGTGGAAATGCTGAAAATTTTAGATGATATAACCTTAGTGTTCAAGTCCTCCGTCATCTGTCAGGTTGTCAGACTTCAGTGGCATGGGTGTTGCTGTGATGCTAAAAGCTGTCACGTGTATTTCAAATGCCCGCAGGGTCTCAGTGGAGCTTACACACTAAGAACTGACTTTGAAGAAGAAATAGGCTATTTCTGAGCAGTTAGCCGCTGAAAACCTTGAGTAACAGTGGACACAGCGGATGCCAACAAGAAACTCACAGCTAACAACTCTGAGGCTGGTGCAGGGCCCATAGGGCTTCATTCCATCATAACCAGGGTCCCTGTGAGTCAGAACCGACTTGATGGCGCCTAAGAACAAACCCCAAGAAAGTATTTTTAATACTGTATATGCGTTGTCTGTCTCCCCCTCCAGTGTACATTTTATTATGTGAATGTATCCTTTGTTTTATTTTTCAGTGTATCCCCAAGGCCTAGAATAATGTTTGGTACAGAGTAGATGCTCAATCAATTTTTTTGAATAAATGAGAAGTACCCCACCACAACAAAGAACTTGACATCTGGAGCAATGAATAACTAAACAGAGAAGCGATTGAAATGGTCAAGAATTTCATTTTACTTGGGTCCACAACTAACGCTCAAGGAAGCAGCAGTCAAGAAATCAATGACATTCTGCATTGGGCAAATCGCTACACAAGACCTCGTTAAAATGCTAAAGAACCAGGGTGTCACTTTGAGAAGGAGGTGAGCCTGACCCAAGCTATAATATTTTCAATCATTTCCAATGCATGTGCAAGCTGGACAAACAATAAAGAAGACCGAATAAGAACTGATGCATTTGAATGAAGGTGTTGGTGAAAAACATTTAAAATACCACAGTCTGTCAAAAACGAAATAAATCTGTCTTGGAGGAAGAATAGCCAGAATGCTTCTCAGAAGCAAGGGTGGCGAAACTTCATCTCATATACTTTGGACATGTTACCAGGGAGACCAGTCCCCGGAGAAGGATATTAGGCTCGATTAAGCAAAGGGGCAGCAAAAATGGGGAAGGCTCTCAACAAGATGGGTCAACACAATGGCTTTAACAAAGGGCTCCAAACACAAGAGCACTTGGGAAGATGGTGCAGGACTGGACATTTTGGTCTGTTGCACCTGATGGCACCTGACAAGAACAACAATACGCTTCTGGGGAAGAAAAAGTGATGATGTTCACTGTGTAGCGGGATGAACATCTCATCCAACTATGTGTCGATACATGAGGTAATTCAGAAAGACTGCCTAAGGAACCGAGGGCAGGCGGGGTGTGAATAACTGACTGGAACAGTCGTAGTGGTGCACTGTGGCCATCTACCAATCCATTGCCCTCCAGCCCATTCCACATCATACGCCCCCCCCCCCCCCCCCCCCCACACCCCCCCCCCCCCCCCCCCCCCATGGAGAACAGAACTGCCCCAGAGGGTTTGCAAAGGTGTCATCCATACGGAAACAGACAGCTGCGTCTTTCTCCCTCAGAGCCACTGGTCAGAGCCAAGTGTTTAACCACTGCCCCATGTGGGGAAAAGAGCCCAACCACACTAGCGTTACAGAATCAGTCGCCTCAGTCTGAAGACAAAGGGGAAAAAAAGCTTTCATTTTTTTGGATATTTTAAAATAATGGTCATTAAACATCCAGTTTCCACACCACATGTTTACTTATTTGGGTGTCTTATATTCTTCAACAAGGCTTTTATGAATGGGATACTGTATCCAACAAAGTTCCAAACATGTCATTCTTACTAGTTTTTATATGTACTTAATGTATTTTCCTTAATGGCTCACCTTGGATCCTCTTGATTTCTGTAAATGGTCAGGTAATAGGCAAATGAATAAGTGTCAGCGTCCTCCATTTAAAGAGGAGCTGGTGACCCGGTGGGTTAAGTGTTGAATACTGCTAACCTGACCAAATCCACCAGTCAGCCATTCGAGAGAAAGATGCGAGCGGCCTCTTCTCCCGGAAAGAGTCACAGCTTCAGAAACACTCGGGGGAAGTCCCACTCTCTTCTTATAGAGCCATCAGGAGTCAGAATTGACAGCACTGGGGATGGGGGTGGTTTTGTTTTCTTGTTATTCTATTTAGGTCATTTTGTAAAATCATGGATCCTAGAGCCAGACTGGCTGTGCAACCTAATCTTAGCTTTGTCACTTAGGTTGGGCCACATTACTATGCTATCTAACCTCTTCCAAAGTTCTCATCTGTTAAGTAAAGTTAGCATCATCTCTCAGCGGTGGTGGTTAAGAATTAGATGGTAGTTTGATATAAAGCGCATCCTAAGCTTCTTGATGGTATTCTGATTTAATCTCAGGCAATTAAGTTCTGAGATGGAGAGGGAAGAGAGATGAGTAAAAGTCTCTAGAATCAAAGAAAGTAAAAACATTTAGTGAACTTGGGTGAAGGGGACAGATGGCAATGTACAATAAAGGAGGAGGTAAGGAAAACTGGGGAAAATATTGGAAGTTTTGCAATAATTAACGGCACCAGAAGCAAATACTGTACCGTACAAAATCCTGCAACAGTCGGGATCTATGAATAGAGGCCTACAGGCTGAACAAGTGACAAACAGTGGGAGTATGACCATACTTGACTGAGGGTATTTGTACATGGGCATATACTTTTGCTGCAAAGACTTCCATGACCAGTGGAACATCCAGACAAAAACAATTTACTGCCATCAAGTTGAAGTTGACTCATAACGACCCTAAGGAACAGGGTTGAACTGTCCCTGGGGGTTTCCAAGACTGTGCTTCTTTATGGGATATGAATACTTCTTAGATACAACCAAACACCTTGAGGGAATTAGTTGCTGGGCCTAGGGGGTCAGGCCCAGAGTCTCAGTGGAAACCAAGGCTGATTAGCATAGCATAGTCCATCAAACAATGTTCTACATTTTAATTTGACGAGTGTTGATTGGGATCTTAAAAGCCTACGATCAGCCGTCTTTGGTGCAACTACTGGACTCTCCCCATTTGGAGGAAGAGAGATGAACACTGAAATACAGATGGACACAATAGTTCAATGGCCTAATGGACCACATAAACACCAGCTTCTGCAACCCGGAGACCAACCAAAAGAACTAGAGGATGCCCAGCTACCACTCCTAACTGTTCTGAAAAGGATCCCATTAGAAAGTCCTAGATAGAGTGGGAGAAAAATGTGAAAGAGAATTCAAAATTATCAACAAGACCACTTACAAGTCGGATAGAGACTGGTGAGATTCACAAGACTGATCTGTATCCTTCCGGTCTAGAACTTAACTCACCTCCACCTAATCAGTCTTTTAAGATCAAAAGGGAAACATTTGCCCAAGGGCAAAGTTCAGAAGGTTAGCGGGAGGAGGAATGGCAATGAGAAAGACTTTGAGGAAGCGGGATAAGTGATGGTACACTGAGGGACTGCAATGGATGGGCTGAATCGGAATGTGTATGAATTGTGGAACGTAAAACTATGATCCGCCCAGTTAACCTTTACCTAATTTACAATCTGCCCAGTAAACCTTCACCTAAAAGAAAGTTTGAAAAATAAAGAAAACATCCAGGCATGAGGGAACTAAAGGTACAGGGAAACAAGAAACACGGGAGAAATGATGGGTTTTCCAACCCTTAGCACTTCAAACTCAAAAGTGCCAATGACCATCTAGGTATAAACTACCCTCTCCACCACGCCTTTAAGAACGAAGTTATCATTAGTTAGTAACTTTTGGTTAGTTAGGTTCACTGATTTTTTTTCCAAGTAAAATCAAAGCAAAACAAAAAAAAGAACTCAAAGCCAGAGAGTCAATTCTGACCCATAGAGATAATACTCAATCCAAAAGAGTTGGCTGTTTTATTATAGTCTTTTGGGGTGCAAATCATGGTGATGCAATACTTATCCAATATCGCTTAATGAATTTATGGTTCGGTCCTTTGACCTAAGGAGAGCCTAGTCCTTGTCAGTCAATAGCTGTCCTTTGGAGCTCGCACTCTAGTAGAAACAGGCAAATGGGGCGTGGGTACCAGCGCTCCTAGCAACCGGAGGCGGGCCTATAGCGACTGACACCGCCCAGGGGGACACGCGCGGAGGAAGGGGTTTCTGCCGTCTCCAACACCCCCCACCCATGACCACCTGGACCCGTAAGTCAGCAGCCAAGGTTCTCGGCTGCGGAGGCCTACACACTGGACCCCCTTCTCCGGCTTCTTCCCTCCCGGCCCCCCAAAGACATCCCGAGTATGGGCTGGGCTGGCCGGAGCGCTCTCCCCACGTGCTGCCCACGGGACCTCGCGGCGCAGCTGGAACAGCCTCCAACGGAGGGGGGGGGGGGAAGGAACCCTTCTGGGGCCCCTGCGGCCCAAAATGGAAAGAATAGGGGGGGTCACCTTTCGTCAGAGTCCGTGGCTGGCTTTTTGCCGAGGGCCGGGTTGGGGGGTTTGGAGAAAAGATTCTCAAAATCCATTACCCCGTCCAGGGGTCTCGCTCTCACGAACAGCAAGCCACGAGAAGTGAGCCGGGAAGCGGCAGGATTACAGAAACCGCACGGCGAGGAGACCAGCTCCTGCCCGCAACGGGCGGCAAGCCCGGCCCCCGGCCCCCGCCCCTCCTCGCGCACGCGTCGCCCGCTCGCCTCGCGGCAGCTCTGCGCACGCCGGCGCCGCAGCTTTGCGCAGGCGCAAGGCTAATTGCATCTCACAACCCCGCCCGCCCCGCCCCTGCTTTGTCGCAAATAGTAGTATCTTTAAGCTTAGCACTTAGAATCTCCTTTCTTCACTTTGGTGCAAACTTCTTTGCAGACGACAATGGTTCTAAGGAATGATTGCAATAGCATGTTTTCAGCCATTAACTCATTTGAATCCTTTGCTACCTGCTTAGTCTGTAAGGAGTTGGCTTGGGAACCACAAATTGGGTCGTTGAAACCTGGAGAAAGATGAGGCTTTCTGCCCCTGGCAAGATCTCTAAAACCCAGAGAGGCAGTTCTACTTTGTTCTATGGTGTAAGAATCGGAATACAGGACCAATAATGAGAGTAGCATACCTGGAGGGGAAGGGGAAGGTAGGGAAGGAAAGGAGAACCAATCAATGATATACTTAGAACCCCCTCCGGGGGACGGACAACAGAAAAGGGGGTGAAGGGAGACATTGGACAGTGTAAAACATGAAATTTTTAAAATAAATTATCAAGGGTTCGTGAGGAAGGGGCAAAAATGAGCTGATACCAAAGACTCAAGTAGAAAGCAAATGTTTTGAGGATGATGATGGCAACAAATGTACAGATGTGCTTGACACAATGGATGGATGCATGATTGTGATAAGAGTTGTACGAGCCCCCAATAAAATGCTTTTTTAAGATATTCGTTGACGATTTCAGTGAGTTTGAGTTTACAACTTATAAAATAGGTTCTATTATCTTCTACAATTTTCACATGGTGGGGAAAAAAGTGCAGAAAGGTTAACTTGTAGGGTCTCTACAATTTAATACCATTAAAATAAATACCCAGCTTAAGAGAGAAGACCCACTAAACAGTACCAAATGCTAAACGATTTCTAAAGAGCAAAGTAGCACAGCAATTGGGAAGGCCTTTGGATGAATTTCATAGGAAGAGATGAAGTTGCTGGAAAAGGAGTGCTCCAAGTGGTAAGAATTATATGAATAACTTTTAAGGGCAGGAAATTGTAGCATATAATCTGAAAAATAGAATTGTTAGCTGTGCTTAAAATGTTAAGCTGCAGACTGGGCCAAGCCACCTGAAGTGAATACCTGAAGGGATGGTCTGAGCCCTGGCGTGAATCAGGGGCACAGACAATGAGGGGGTTCAATGAAGCCAGAGATGCTCTGCCTTTCTCTTTTTCATATTACACACGACCACAACCTCCACCTTTACACATTATTAAGATTGGTAGGGAAATAAAATTTTACTAAGTGGATAAAAAACAAGTAGTATTCTTTCTTTGGAGGAAAATCTGGTATTTTAGAACTCAAATTATTACCATATATAATGTTTCACATGCATTATCATGCATACATCAAAAGAAAGCAAGGAATAAAAGCAAATTAGACTTGGTATGTTTAAAAACGGTGAAAAAAATCAAAAAGAATAATTGACTTGCAAAGATACTGGCATTTTCAGAAAAGTTTATAACAGGCTATATATGTTTGTAGTAGATATTTTAAAGGACCCCAATCCTTCACCCATTCCTGTATCCACAACTTTTGCACATGACTTTACATCTCTTCCCATGGGAGAGGAATTGGTTTTCTTTCTTCTTTAATTGAGTTGGCCTTGTGACTGGCTTTGACCAACAGAATGAAAAGAGAGGAACCTACCAAGCTTTGTGTGTGCCTACTCTCCCTCTCAAACTGGAAAACAAGCTGGAAAATAAGCCGGGTTAAGCCTGGTGAAGATAAAGAATTAAAGGAGGAAACAGAAAAGAACAAAAGTACCACAGCCATCAGCCAGTTAACTCCTAAAAAACGCACCTCGCTAGCACAGAGCTGGCCTCAGACATATGATGGAACCCAGGGGAGAGCTGACAACTCTCCCAAAGGATCCCAGTCCAAATGGGTAACCCACCCAACTGTGAAATAAGTATGTTGTCCCTGAGGGTATAGAAAGAGAGGAGGGCAGTGGGGGGGGGCGTGCAGGAGGAGTGGTGGTGGTGGAAAGGACGACTGATAACATCAATGACTCTCTAACCCCACTCGAGGGGAACAAATAACAGAATGGTAGGATACATTGGATGGATTAAGATATGGCCAAAAAAGGAGTAACAATAATAATATTTAATTTGATGAGGGTTCTTGGGGGGAGAGTGGGGGAGAGCAGGGATAAAGGAGAGCTCATATCAAAGAGTGCAAGATGAAAGAAAATGTTTTGAAAATGATAGTGGCAGCAATTGTACAGTCATGCTTGATCTAATTGAACTATGGATTGTTATAGTATCTGTAAGAGCTCCCAATAAAATAGAAGGAAAAAACTATGTTGTTATAAGCCACTAAATTTTAATTTACCTAACAGTGTCATTTAATTAAAATAATATCTGAATGCCATCACACAGGTTTAACCTTTAGGAAATCTCTAGGGGTCTGAATTTTTCTATACTTCCCTTCCATCAAGATATTTTCATTAAATCATACAACCAGAAGACCTAGATTTTAATTCTTTGCAGCTTTCTAAATATGCAAAGTTAAGCATGTTGTTTTATCTAACCTCCCTTTTCCTACCTTAAAAAAATGGAAATAGGTATTGGCTACTTGGTGGTGCCTATTAGGAAGGATGATTTTAGGAATAAAATTAAAATGAGAATATAATTGTGAGATATAAAAAGACTGTTCCCCAGCTCAACTCCCCCAAATGTATATGTTAGACTTAGGACACTGCTTGCAACTAATGTTAAATGATTGTCAAGGTATCTCCCTACAGACTCCAGCCATCCAGAGCAAGAAGACACCATACCATTGTTTCTCCCACAAGAGGTGGGGTTCACTCCCTGCTGTTAGGGGCAATGGATTGCTTCCCCTGAAAGCTTAGACTAAATCAAGTCTCCAGCTCTAGGGCAATCAAGGTGAGGTTGGCATCCTGAATCTAGGATCCGCCCATCTTGTCACATGTATACCCTTAAGCCTTCCCCTTCCTATAGTGTGTGTACCCCTAGATTGTCCTCCTGCCATTACTGTTTTACCTATAGTACAACCCTTTCCTGTGATGTATGTCTTTACTTGTAATTAGGGGGCTTGTACATCCCCAAATGATATATAAGCCTTGATTAGCAATAAATCACTCTCTTTCCTGCTCTTTCCTGCCCTGTACCACCAAGAGGAGCTGAGGTGAGCATGCTACTGTGAAATGTGTCTGACTTCTTTATTTTACTCTCTCTCCTGCCACTCTTACGCTCTATGGCTTTATTATAACCTTTATATATCTCAACCGTACAGTTGCACTTAGTGAACCCGTGATTAGTTGTGGGGGGCTGGCTACCCCCACATATAATTAGGTAAAAATTATTTAAAAATAGTAGAGTACCATAAGACAAAATATTTCTTGGTGACTGCCGTCTTTGGCCTGGTATATTTGTGCTGCACTGTTTTTACCATTTTCATTTCTTTGAAAGGAATAAAATTTTAAAATCTGTCCTCCTAAAACTTAGGACTCAATTAAATTACATGATTATAAGAAAACAGGGAAATACAAGTGCATTTCTTGGGGTATTCTAAGAAATTTTTACACACCATGTTATCAAACTTCATTAGAATTCAGGCCTTGGCAGAGGGAAAAATCTGAAGGAGTTTATCAAAGTTACAATTTCTTTAAAATTTGTGGCAAAATTTACCATTTCCACCTTTTCCCTCTAACAAGGCAGATTTGAATTTAAAGTGATTATGACAGAAACAAATGTACAAATGTGCTTTACGCAATGGATGGATGGTGATAAGAGCGCCCAATAAAATGATTAAAAAAAATAAATAACAGTATCTTAAAAAAAAAAAAGAACAGGCAGGCTTGAAAGTATCTGCCGGAGAAAGGAAAACTATAAAAAGTGGCAAGTTATTTGTTATTAGGTGCCACGGAGTCAACTGAGACTCATAGCAACCCTACGGCACACAAAACTCTGTCCTGTGCCATCCTCACAATTGCTGTGTTTGACCCATTCTTGAAGCCATGGGTCAAGCCATCTCATGGAGGGTCTTCCTCTTTTTCACGCGGCCACTACTTTAACAAGTAGGATATGGTTTTTCAGGGACTAGTTCCTCCTTGTAATACGTCCAAAGTGAGACCAAATCTCGACATCCTGGCTTCTGAGGAGCATTCTGGCTACTTCTTCCAAGACAGATGTTTGTTCTTCTGGCCGTCCATGGTACTTTCAGTGTTCTTCAGCAACATCATGACTCATAAACACACCCATTCTTCAGTCTTCCTTAGCCACTGTCCAGCCTTCACGGGCACGTGAAACGATTGAAACTACCATGGTGTGGGTCTCACTGTCAGTGAATCTATTCCAACTGATAGCGAACCTACAGGCAGGGCGGAACTCCCCTGTGGGTTCCTGACACTGGAACTCTATTTTTTATTTTAATAAATCTATTGGGGGCTCTTACAACTCTTGTAATAATCCACACATTATTTGTATCAAGCACATTTATACATATGTTGCCATTATTATTTCCAAAACATTTTCTTTCTATTTGAGCCCTTGATATCAGCTCCTTTTCCCCCCTCTATCCCCCAACCTCCCACCCTCTGAACTCTTGATAACTATAAATTATTTTTATTTTCATATTTTGCACCATCTGCTGTATCCTTTCACTCATATTTCTGATGTTCATACCTGAGGTGGGGGGGGAGGGTATACTTCGATCATTGCACTCAGTTCTTCCTTTCTCCCTCCTTCTCCCCTACCCTCATGGTACCACTACTCTCATTATTGGTCCTGAGGGGTCTACCTGTCCTGGATTCTGTTTGTTGAGAGCTCTTATCTGTACCAGTGTACATGCTCTGGTCTAGCCAGATGTGTAAGATAGAACTGGGATCAATAGAGTGTGTGTGGGGGTAT